CTACATTAGACTGAATGACATTGCACCCTAAATAGAAAGGTCGACGGATAGACAGACAGAAAAACAGATAGATAGATAAATAGATAGATAGATAGATAGATACATAGATAGACAGATAGACAGGTAGACAGCTAGACAGAGAGACAGATGAAAGAGAGAGAGAGAGAGATAGATCGATAGATAGATAGATACATAGATAGATAGATAGATTGGTAGGTAGGTAGCTAGGTGCACCATAGATAGATAGGTAGACAGACAGACAGACAAACAGATAGATAGATAGATAGATAGATAGACAGGTAGACAGCTAGACAGCTAGACAGATAGACCGATGAAAGAGAGAGAGAGAGAGAGATAGATAGATAAATAGATAGACAGGTAGACAGTTAGACAGATAGACAGATGAAAGAGAGAGAGATAGATAGATAGATAGATCGATAGATAGATAGATAGAGTAATCAAATGAAAGAGAGAGAGGGAGAGATAGATAGCTAGATAGATAGATAGATAGATACATAGCTAGATAGATAGGTAGGTAGGTAGACAGTCAGAGAAAGAGTGAGAGAGATCAATCGTCTTTCGATCCATCAGTGGCTTCGCTCTGCCATCCCTGATTCACAACAACCAATCTCTCCTATAGGTTTCCTATTTTTGAAACTTCCGCCACCGCCTTGTGCGGTACTACTGGTATAATCATAGTATAAGGTTAGTATATAATATTGGTACATATTATGATCAGAACAATGAGAGTTAATGGTATAAGGATAATGATGGTATAATGATGGTATAATGATGGTATAATGATGGTATAATGATGGTTAACCAATGGTATAAGGATAGTATATATTATTGGTATATATTATGGTCATAACAATCATAACAATGAGAATGATACTAGTGATAATACGAGTGATAATCGAAGGAGGTTTAGAAGTCAAACTTCCGACAATATGGAGAGATGAAAAGCAGAGCAGGGAAGAGGCAGAGAGAAGAGAAAGATTAGAAGAAAGAAGAGTAGAAGAGAAAGAGTAAGAAGACAGAAGATGCAGATGCGCGAAAAGGTAGGAAAGTCGCGAAACATTGTGTTTTTCCAATGATTTGTGGCTCCGGAGGGTCGAAAAGTAGGCTCACTAAAGCGGCGGTGCGGAGCCAGCTGGCCAGAGGAGAGATGAAAAAGTGCACGTCGTTGTGGCGCGAAGCACATTTCGAAGTGAAAATGTACAAAACACACCATTCTCGGACCACTTTTGGAAGTTAAGATGTCGAAAAAGTGCACGCCGTTGTGGCGCGAAGCACATTTCAAAGTCAAAATGCACAAAACACACCATGGCCGGACCACTTTTGGAGGTTCAGATGTCGAAAAAGTGCACGCCGTTGTGGCGCGAAGCACATTTCGAAGTGAAAATGTACAAAACACACCATTCTCGGACCACTTTTGGAAGTTAAGATGTCGAAAAAGTGCACGCCGTTGTGGCGCGAAGCACATTTCGAAGTGAACATGTACAAAACACTACATGTTCGCGCCACTTTTGGAGGTTCAGATGTCGAAAAAGTGCACGCCATTGTGGCGCGAAGCACATTTCGAAGTGAACATGTACAAAACACTACATGTTCGGACCACTTTTGGAGGTTCAGATGTCGCTTCGCCGCTTCGCTTCACTACACTACACTACGTTACGTTACACCACACTCCACTATACTACACTACATTACACTACACTACACTCCACAACACTACAACTACAACTACACAACTAGACTACACTCCACTACACTCCACTACATTAAATTTCACTACACTACATTACACTACACTACGCTCCACTGCACTACACTGCATTACACTACACTCCACTACACTACATTACACTACACTACGCTCCACTGCACTACACTGCATTACACTACACTCCACTACACTACATTACACTACACTACGCTCCACAACACTACAACTGCAACTACACAACTACACTCCACTACACTCCACTACACTAAATTACACTACACTACACTACATTACCCTACACTACACTCCACTACACTACACTCCACTACACTACACTACATTACACTACACTACCTTCCACTACACTTCACTACATTGCACTACACTCCACTACACTACAACTACAACTACGACTACACAACTACACTCCACTGCACGAAATTACACTACACTACGCTACATTACACTACACTACACTACATTCCACTACACTCCACTACACTACACTACATTACACTACACTACAATGCACTGAATGACACTGCACCACAGATAGACAGGTAGACAGGTAGACAGATAGACAGATAGACAGATAGACAGATAGATAGATAGATAGATAGACAGGTAGACAGCTAGACAGATAGACAGATGAAAGAGAGAGAGATAGATAGATAGATAGATAGACAGACAGACAGACAGACAGATAGATAGATAGATAGATAGGGTAATTAGATGAGAGAGAGAGAGATAGATAGATAGATAGATAGATCGATAGATAGATGGATACATAGATAGATAGATACATTGAAAATAGATAGGTAGGTAGGTAGGTAGATAGTCAAAGAAAGAGATAGAAAGAGTGAGAGAGATCAAGCACCTTTCAGTCCATCAGTGGCTTCGCTCTGCCATCCCTGATTCACAACAACCAACCTCTCCTATAGGTTTCCTATTTTTGAAACTTCCGCCACCGCCTTGTGCGGTACTACTGGTAGGAATGAATATAGCCCTGATTTACAATGGTCACTTGATGGGATGGTGGCTATGGTGTAAACCCCATTACACCGTGCTGTTGGTTTTAAGGTCGCCTCCTGAATGACTTGCACTACTTTGATGTCAAGGCATTGGGGGCAACGAATCGTTTGGTCAAAAGATATGTGGCCCGGATGAGGATTGATTTTGGTCACAGATTCGAGGAGCGTGTTGGGCTTGGAATTGCAAACTTCGCTGTTGGGGTTCATGAACTTAAATTGTGGCGGCTGCTGAGAAGCTTTGGGGATTGTTGTTTTGCCACCCAAAAGTAGTTGAAGAAGTTCTAAGCATGTCAAAGCTTCCAAAACATGCCAGACGCACGAAATCGTGCAGATTTCTAACATGTTTTGTCCATCCTGTTGATTTGATATTTTTCCAACTTCTCGTGACTTGGTCTTCTCGTGCCCCAGCACCATTACTTGTTCCTTGCAGCAACGTCAGGCTGGAGCTTGGCAGCCAGTCACTGCTGACAATGTCCCAGCTGCCCGGCACGGCCACACTGCGGTGCTGGACGCCAAGCAGCGGATGTGGGTCTTCGGTGGTTCGAACGGCGCCCCGGAAGATAAAGCAACACGTTGTGGTGCACATATTTCCATGGCATATAGGTTAAGTGAACATCCCAATAGAGGCTATTCCTTTTATTTGGATATACCATACATATACCATGATCCCAATCTTGGTATAATATTAGCATTATACCATATACCAATGGGATATACCATACATATACCATTTTCCTGTTCAACAGGGGTACAGGGTTTTAACCCAGACTCATATGATGAGGGCATGGAGAAAACACCACGTAACATACCACAGCTGTGTCCCAAGGTGACTTGAAGTACTGTACATGAATGACCTGTACTACTTGGATGTTGAGGCAGGAAGGTGGGGGAGCCATGTCAGTTGGCTGATCCATCTGGTCCCCCCAAAACACGGTGAAATGGGTATTTCCTATGGTGGTACCCCAAAAGTCAGCTGGTTTCCCTACTAAATCCAACCATTTTGGGTTATGAAGGGTACCCAACCATGGAAATACCCCCAAATCCATCCCCAAAATCCTGGGTTTATGACCACTGCTGGATGGTTTGGCTGCCCTCAGGCCAGGGCTTGGCAGCCAGTGACTGCTGACAATGCCCCAGCTGTGCGACACAGCCACAGCGCGGTCAGCGGATGTGGGTTTTTGGAGGTCATGTTGGTCAGGGCCCCAGAAGCCAACACAGCTGATGGCTTCACCCACTGTTGGTGGTGATCGTTGAGGTTTTCTCACCGACCTCAACGATTTGCACTACTTTCATGTTGAGGCGAGGTTCTTGGGAAGGTAAAAGTGTGTCCGTGTGCGAATTCAGATATCTTAGTCCGTTATAACTTTCAATATTGTGTAGGTTTGACATCAAATAGTTTCAAATGTCATGGCGAGTCATACCATATCTAGAGTAGTCCACTGAGTGGTCCACTGGATATGTCCACAGTGGTGACAGAGACAGTGACATGCAGTGACGCAGCAAAGGATAAGTTGTTTCGTTCAGGTGAGAGATTGGTGGTTAAGATCCACACCATTTCCCACATCCATGCAGCTACAATTTTTGCTTCATGGACTCGCCTAGCACCTGATTCTTTTTTGAAGCTTCCATTCCAGAAATTGACTCAAACCCATAGAAAATGCCACCGCCACAGTTTGTTGCCGCCTTTCCACCTTCATTGAATGTTGGTTTGGCATCTAGCCATTTTTGGTAGTAATTGGTATTGACCCATGACCATATATACCATTACATACCATCATTATACATCATACCTTTGATTAACCATCAAACCATTACATATAAATCATATACATTCATATACCATCATTATCCATTAATGGTTACCATGAATGTTATTCATTATCATCTATGATCGAATGTTGTTCGTTTCTGGCAACCTTAAATTCTGTTCATCAGGCGAGTTATTGGCACCCAGTGGCGGCCGCCAACGCATGCATCTGTGAAAACCAGATGATTCGAGGTCGGCTCATGGCTGCAACCGGTCATAACAACAGTATGATTTTAAGCAGTTATGAGAACTCAGATTGGCCAACCAGTGCAATTCCTTTGGGGCTTTGGCATTGCTTCTAGAGCCTATAGAGTGAGTTCTCAAGGTGACTTTGACAGTTGCAACTCTGAGTTTCCAAAGTTGTCCCGATTTCCAGCTTCAAGTGCTTTCACACGTGCTCTCACGAGTTCTCTCACAAGTGCTCTAACGCGCCATGGTCAAGTCGCTCGTGGCCTTGGCATTTGTCGCTCTCAATTTGGCGATCTGTGCCTTCCTCCAGGGCTGTGGTTCGGAGACCACAGCCGCCCCCGTGACGGTAGCAGCTGCTACTTGCGACATGACCGCGGTGACAAGCTGTGCGCAGACGGCGAGTACAAGCTCAACAGACCCCTGTCAGATCTCCTCGGCCTCAATCGCATGCTATTCCAGCTGCTGCACATATGCTGAAGCGCAAACAGCCCTGGATGCGGCTGTCTCTGCTGCAGCAGCAATTCCGAATTGCAATCTTGTGAGCCCCTGTGCCTGAGCGACCAAGAGTGAGATGCCAGTGAAAGGAGCATGATTTTTCCCGGATGGTTTGCCTGCCTTCTTGCTTTGTAATCAATCGATTTACACACCGTGGATAAGTCATTTCACCATTCATGTATAGATAGTTTATTATCCCTCTTGCTTTGTTGGCTTCGTTGATTGCTCTTTGATTTTCTTTCACCGGGCGAGCACCGGGCCACCAGTCAGAGCGCATTAACATGCAGGAACTGATTTTTTTGGTGGCGTAATTAATAGCCTAGCTCCCGACCCAGCACCTGAGCCACGGATTGGATGTACAGCCGCCTTGATTGGATGTACTGCGAGCATGAAAGGTTGAAATCTGTGAGGCTGCCAGGCTGAGTTTGGCATCTTGAGGGTTGTTGTGAAGTGAAGTCAATTTGTCAAGTCCAAGTGGGCGGCCAGGTGGACGGGCGCCGCGGCCAGTGATCAGTCTGAGCAGCCGCTTAGCGATTGTGGTCGGACTCGAGGTTTGGCACCTTGTGGTACCATTGATTATGTCGGATTGACCATGATTGACCAACGAGTATTTGGATGTATTTGGGGGTTTACTGATCAGATTTTTGAGTGAACACGGTCTGTTTTTTGCGGGAGATTCCCATAAAACCTCTCTGCTTTGCAAATCACACAGGGTCATGGCAATTACTTCGCTCTGGCCGGTTGATCCTTTCTTTTTTGGACACAAGCGGGAACTCGAGAAGCGTCAGCAGCGCATGTTTTTAGGATCGCAAGTGAACCTGTTTCAGGGTCGCAAGTGAGTCCTTTGTCAAATTGTACGGTCGCAAGTGAACCTCCACCAATCCTCCACCCTTGTGATTTCTTCACCTAGCATCTCTGTCACCTGTATCAGGCACTCTGAAGTCTGTGCTTCCAGCCCCTGGTGGGGTCCCGTTCGGTCCTCGGTCAACCTGTGAACGCAGTGGCGCCAGGGAGTGAGTTTTGAGGTGCCAAAGTGTGAAGGACCTGGATGACCTGGGATGCGGATGCCAGAGGCGACGCAGTTGGGTGAGAGAACTTGTGACATCCTGACAGGGACAAAGGGCTTGGTTTTTTTCTTCCATTTCTTTGGAGGTAAACACAGTGTAAAACAACTATTAGTATAAACCACTAGTACACACCACATAAGGATCTTTATTATATATATATATATGTGTATTTTCTGCATCATATCCTTATTATCGACCTTATTTACACACATATGTATATATATATATACATTTATATATATATATATATACATTATATAATATATACATTATACATATATACATTGTACATATATACATTATATATATATATACACTTAGATATAATACATATAATGTATATATAAATGTAATATATTATATATATTTATATATCTATATTATATATATATTGTATAAGGATGGTAAACCTTAAAAAACAACCATCTTACTTTCCAATAGTTCAGGCACAGATTTGGCACCGGGTCGCGGCCGGCAATGCTCCATCCCAACGGAGAGCCACAGTGCCGTGCTGGACGCCCAGCAGCGGATGTGACATCCGCTGCTGGGCGTCCAGCACGGCACTGTGGGTCTGCGGAGGCAAAACTTACTCCAGCCGCGGCCCCAGAGACAACTGTGGCACAGTCTTAGGTATAATGATGGTATAATCATAGTATAAGGTTAGTATATAATATTGGTACATATTATGATCAGAACAATGATAGTTAATGGTATAAGGATAATGATGGTATAATGATGGTATAATGATGGTTAACCAATGGTATAAGGATAGTATATATTATTGGTATATATTATGGTCATAACAATGAGAATGATACTAGTGATAATACGAATGATAATAGTAATGAATATAGCCCTGATTTACAATGGTCACTTGATGGGATGGTGGCTATGGTGTAAACCCCATTACACCAAGCTGTTGGTTTTAAGGTCGCCTCCTGAATGACTTGCACTACTTTGATGTCAAGGCATTGGGGGCAACGAATCGTTTGGTCAAAAGATATGTGGCCCGGATGAGGATTGATTTTGGTCACAGATTCGAGGAGCGTGTTGGGCTTGGAATTGCAAACTTCGCTGTTGGGGTTCATGAACTTAAATTGTGGCGGCTGCTGAGAAGCTTTGGGGATTGTTGTTTTGCCACCCAAAAGTAGTTGAAGAAGTTCTACTGTAAGCATGTCAAGGCTTCCAAAACATGCCAGACGCACAAAATCGTGCAGATTTCTAACATGTTTTGTCCATCCTGTTGATTTGATATTTTTCCAACTTCTCGTGACTTGGTCTTCTCGTGCCCCAGCACCATTACTTGTTCCTTGCAGCAACGTCAGGCTGGAGCTTGGCAGCCAGTCACTGCTGACAATGTCCCAGCTGCCCGGCACGGCCACACTGCGGTGCTGGACGCCAAGCAGCGGATGTGGGTCTTCGGTGGTTCGAACGGCGCCCCGGAAGTTAAAGCAGCACGTTGTGGTGCACATATTTCCATGGGATATAGGGTAAGTGAACATCCCAATAGAGGCTATTCCTTTTATTTGGATATACCATATATATATATATACCATGATCCCAATCTTGGTATAATATTAGCATTATACCATATACCAATGGGATATACCATACATATACCATTTCCTGTTCAACAGGGGTACAGGGTTTTAACCCAGACTCATATGATGAGGGCATGGAGAAAACACCACGTAACAAACCACAGCTGTGTCCCAAGGTGACTTGAAGTACTGTACTTGAATGACCTGTACTACTTGGATGTTGAGATGTTGAGGCAGGAAGGTGGGGGAGCCATGTCAGTTGGCTGATCCATCTGGTCCCCCCAAAACACGGTGAAATGGGTATTTCCTATGGTGGTACCCCAAAAGTCAGCTGGTTTCCCTACTAAATCCAACCATTTTGGGTTATGAAGGGTACCCAACCATGGAAATCCCCCCAAATCCATCCCCAAAATCCTGGGTTTATGACCACTGCTGGATGGTTTGGCTGCCCTCAGGCCGGGGCTTGGCAGCCAGTGACTGCTGGCGGTGCCCCAGCTGCGCGACACAGAGCATGTCTACACAATTCAACATCCGATCATCAGGTAATTAGTAGCAAATCCTGGAGAGAGTAAGTTCTCACAAACTCATGCTTGTGACATGAGTTCACATTTTGCATTTCCTTCCCTATGGACTAAGGAGGCTTACTGCTTGCCAATTGGTTACATGACTTGGTTCCAGCAACGTGGTCAGGTGTCATGAACGACATTGTGAAGCTTGCCAAGACCTTTGAAGTAGCTCTTATACCACGGATGGTAAATATCATTTTAAATCCCTAGTATATAAGTACAGGGAGTGGGCCCAGCCCAGCTGCCCCAAAATCATGGGGTAGCCAATTTTGAAAAGATTGTTTCACCTGTCATTGGATCCATTTGAAGCTGCAGCCATCGCGCTGCCGCGGGGTCTCCGGATGAATCAGCCAAGTAGAAAGAATTTCGCGAGTGCGTCCGGCGCGTGCGGAGCTGCTTGTGCATTCCCATTAGCAGATATAAGCAGAGACGAGGTAAGAAGCAGAAAAGGCTGGGCATGACCTATTCAAATTATTGGGGCCCCAAAATGAGCCATACAGGTATTCTTGCTGATATATTGTTTTCTTTTGGCTCATGGAATCCATGGAATCGCACGATTTCAGCTGGACCAATCCGAATCCTTATAAAGTTCCAATTTTTTGGACTTCCTGATGAATTTCCCCATTCTCAAGGATATTGCTAAGATGAGAATGTTCTAAGATTCTTACAGATGAGAATGGGGATTTTTTAATCTTGCAATGGATACAGTTTTTTTTATATGTTTGAACTGGATTCTGATTGCATCCATAAGATGATTCAACTGTTTTAATCAGAAAAGATGATTGTTTTCCTTTAGAACATGTTTTCCATTTATTGTCGTTCTGTTTCAGAATATGTTTATACCCTTTGGTAATTCAATATAGCTACTGAAAATGGTGATTTACATTTAAAAAAAATATCGTATACACATGGTGATTTTCCATAGCTAATGTTCACATGCCATTAATACACCCCTCATGAATAAAGGACGCCAACTCCCCGAAATTATTAATAAACCTCTCCCACTAATAAAGTATGCCAACTGATTGTTGAGTTGTTTTTTGTTTTTTTTTCTGTTTTTTTGTTTTTGTTTCTTTTTGTTTCTCGTTTTGACACCTCAAATAAAGTATTTGATTTTTGTTGTAAGTACCGTCTAAATAGTTGTTCACGGATTTCTCCCCTAAATAAAATAAGCAATTATTGAATGAAGCCCCCTAACACCTAATAATGAATCTTTTCACCCCCCCTAAATAAAGTATTCGGTTTTCCAGAGCCTCAATTTTCGTGGTTCAATTCATATCTCTCTTCCTTTCCTATTTGAATCCCCTTTAAAGAATCTCCACTACCACATATGAACCTATAATATTTGATTTAAAGGGCCCCCCGAAATAAAGTATTCTGAAATACGTTCCCACGTTTTTTTGGTCAACCAAGACCCTTTGGAGCTGGAAGCTGGAACAACTTAACCTTTTCTGAAAAGTTGTGGAACTGAAAAAAATCAAGAAGGCTCAAATGGTCAATTTCCTTATTACTAAACCTTTCCAAAAAATGTTGAAAATCAATCGCGCAAAGGGGGTAGCCTTGAAGCCACCTAACATCTAAATAATAATGAATGATATCGCCCCCATAAATAAAGTATTCGGTTTTCAAGGGCCTAAATTTTTGGGGAATACTAGAATGAAGAAAGAAGCCCACTTATATATTCGTTTTCAATTAGCCAATTCATTTGGGAATACTAAAATGAAGAAAGACACCCACTTTATATATTCGTTTTCAACCAGGCAATTCATCTGGGAATATTGAAATATGAAGAGAGAAGCCCACTCATATATTCGTTTTCAATTAGCCAATTCATTTGGGAGTACTAAAACGAAAGGAAAGTCAACTTATTATATATGAATTTTCAAT